CAATCAACTTATCCCCAAGTCTTGTAAATTCTACCTCTACAAAAGTCCAGAATTGGTCCTTTTGAGACAGGGTCTCTCTGTAGCCCCAGCTGACCTGGAACTCACTATGTAGACCAGGCTGGCCTTGAATACACAGAGATCCATCTGTCTCTGCCTCCTGAGTGCTGGGATTAAAGGCGTATTCCACAATGCCAGGCTAGAATCTGTCCTTTTTACTACCTCTAGTCAGACCACCATCTTTTCTCTTGGGCCATAACTAAAGCTGTGTCTCAACCTTTTGTCTCCCTGGTCCTCCTCTGTCACCAGGTGACAACCTCTGTGACCTCCAAAGTGATCTGTATAAAACACACAGAGAAGTTGATCAATGGATTGAAACCTTCCAGTAGCTTCCATTGTGTTTCAGACCAAGTCAACACTGTGTCTTGCAGTGCCAGAACAGCACAGGCCCTGACCTCATTTTTGACCACTGACTTCTTGCTCTCTTCCCTGGCTTTCAGTCCACCAGGTACCCTGGTTTTCACTTTCTAGAACCAACCTTATGCCTACCTCAAGGGCCTTATAGTTAGTATTTGTTCATTCTGGAACACTTTTCCATCAATCTTCTCATTCTTAAGATTTTAGTCCAAATGTTAACAATCTGTCTGATATTCCCTCACTGCTGCTAATCAAACACTGTCATATGTTTTGTTTTTGATATCAAAAATAGTACAATATTTATTCTCAGGCTCTCCTGTAGGTTTCGTGAGAACTGGCTCTCCGTGTGACCCGCTCAGTGCTAGCTCCCACTCCTAGACCGATACTAGACGCATAGTGGAAACTCAACAAATATTTGTTCAATGAATGAAAAAAATGCTTCAAATGTACTTCCTGATCTTCTCAAGAGAATGTTGCAAGCTTAGGAAAAGTTGCCCAACAATACAGGGCAGGGAATGTTAATCCTGAGCAGTGAGGCCTGATGAGCTGGTATTTACTGGCAACAAGCTGCTGTTCATAAAGACTCAGGACTAGTCCACAGGAGTGGTCCTGGATGGAGCCCTCCAAGGACCAAAGTGGAGAATAACAAGAAGTCATTTGAAGATGGGCGGGCAGTTCCTTCAAAAGCTGCCATGTAATTATAATCAAGAACTTCAGTGACACTGTAAGTACACACATCTTCCCAGGCACATATGCTACCAGACACCAGTGTGCGCGCACACACACACACACACACACACACACCCCTTCAGAGTTGGCTGTGGCCATTTAATCTTCACACATTTCACAAGAGTTTTAACTGATGACCAACTGGTAAGTCTCTGAGAAATGCCATGGAAATTTACAATTCACTATAAATCCTAATAAATTATGGCACCCTCACGCACACAGTGGAACATTATCCAGCTATTAGAACAAGAATTATGAAGCTCCAGGCATGTAGCTTGGTGGCAGAGAACTTGCCCACCAGTCATAACACCCTAAGATTGATTCCCATTAAAACACACACACACACACACACACACACACACACACACACACAAATATAATTATGAACTTTAGGTTGAAGCCTAGAAAATATACTTTAATTTTATGCTAAAAATACCCTGGGCATAGATATGTCTAAATATTGTAAGCATAACTGTATAAACATTATCTAAGGAGAAAAAGATCGAAAGGAAATAGCTATTGTACTAAGGTTGAGTAGTTTATAGGGGATTTTCCCTTTTATGGTTTCCAAACATTCTAGAAATTACTTGTAAATAGATAAAATGAAATTATTAGAGAATAGAATAGTAGTTAGCAGAGCCTGGGAAGGGCATAAGAAGGGAAAATGGAAGAAGGATGGCTAACAGACAAAGAGGAACAGCTGGATAGGAGGACTAAAATACCTCTTGCTGTCATACAGTACCAAAGGATAGCTATGATTGATGGCAATCAAGAGAATAGTTCCAAATAACTAGTACAGGATTTTACATCTTCCTAATATAAAGAAATGATAACTATTTGAGGAATAGATACATCTATTTAGAAGTTACACTATGTCCCATAAATATATACAACTACTACCTGTCAACAAAATTAAATATATTTTGATGGTTTGTATAAGGTTGATTTTAAAGAATATTTTATTTATTATTTTTGTTTTATGTGTTTGAGTGTATTGCTTGCATGTATATAAGTGTACCTGTGTCATGCAATGCCCGAAGAGGTCAGAAGAGGGCGTCAAATTCCCCTGGAACAGGAGTGACAGATAGTTGTTAGCCTCCATGTGGGTGCTGGGAATTGAACCCCGGTCTTCTGGAAGAGCAACAAGTGCTCTTAACTGCTGAGTCATCTCTCTAGCCCCAGGTGGATGGTTTTGTGTGTGTGTGTGTGTGTGTGTGTGTGTGTGTGTGTGTGTGTGTGTTAGTTACTAGAGATTGAACCCAGGGCCTTGTGAATGCTAGGTAAGTGCTGTACTACTGAGCTACATTCTTACTCCCCAAATTTTTTTTAAAGAAGTTATTAAAATTAAAGATTAATTTAATTAAAAGTTAGATGTGATCTATTTTATTTCTTTAGTAGTATACATTAAATGAGATTGGTAAAATTGAATAATAAAATAAAATATAGGAAATTCAATGTCTTTCTGTGGATGTCTGTGTTCCAGGTGTGTGGCCTCTCTACTCTGAAGCAGGTGGGTGAAAGGTAGGGGGCCATAGACACTATCTCATCCCTTCATCCCAATAGGTATGAAGATGACAGGGGCAGAAGGGAAGAAACAATAACAGCTGTTCTACCTGAGTGCTCCAGGGACTATGCTAAATAGCTCGTCAACTCCTCACCTGCTGTTTCCCTATAGATAAGGAAACTACAGGCTGGAGAGGTCTAGGAACTTGTCTGAAGTTAACAGAATGACAAGTGACAGAGCAAGGGATGAAGTTCCATCTGATTCCCAAGCTTTCAGCGCAGCTGTGCCAGTCTAATGCGACCAACGCTTTCACAAATACCCACTACTGTGCTTTAATTGCCACTATAACTTTTCAGCTCAAGGATGAGTCAGCAGGCTTAGGATGCTGGGCAGGCAAGAACAAGCCAATGGCTTCTTCAATAAGGCAAAGGGAAAAAGGTTGTCCCAATTCCTACCCCCCCTTTCAGCATATCAAGAGGCCTGACTTCTGAGAAGAAGGTAACATGAGAAGAGGAAGGAGAGAAAGACCTCACTGGCATCTAGGGAATGGTAGGAATTTTTTGGAGAGAGAAAGAGGGGAGAATAGTGTGGGACGGAGAAGTTGAATAAAATCTTGTGTGCTCTTGAATGATCATCATCTTTGACTCTGAGACAGGTCACCAGAAGAAGCCCTGGTCACCCTAGTTAAGATGTGGAGCCATGTTCTCATGAGGGCCAGGTCATCTCCCAGCTGCCCTCAGTTACCTTGTGTGGCTTAGTTGCTGGGTGTAGTGGATGCTGGGGTGTGTGTATGAAGTGAGACCTTCTGGGACCAGGCAGGATGGCCCTGTGGTTGAGACTCAAGATGCACCAACAAACCAGGGGCCGGACAGAGGGGAGGAGAGACCAGTGAAGTCCCTAGAAGAAAACAGGGCCATGGTCCATGCTCCTTGTGAGGGAGGCCTAGGCAAGATTCTCCTGTACAGCTCAGCCAGAGGAGTGAAGCATCACTCCTTCCCAAATCACCGGCAGTTCACAGGGGGAGACAGAGAGAGTAGTTTTATTGCCTTACTGGACTCACTGATACTCACCTAAAAATGCCCTTTGATTTTTGTAGGCTACTAAATTTATCAGATGGGACTTATTCAAGCTCAGTACATTCCTTCACTCTGAGTGTGGGCACATGCATGATGCTGCTGTGCCACTGTGAGGGCCAGGGTTTTGAGCACCTGGTATGTACCAGGTAGTCTGCTACGCCCTTCACAAGCATGACCTTGCTCTTCTCAGTATCACATGGACAGAGATAACTGCCCATCAGAATCTTTGTGACGTTGGAAAAGTTCCCTAACAGGGCTGGAGAGATGGCTCAGTGATAAGAGCACTTGCTGTTCTTCCAGAGAACCTGAATTCAATTTGCCACACTCATATTGGGCAGCTCACAACCATCTGTTAACTCAAAGCTCCAGGGAATCCAGCACCCTCTTCTGGCCTCTGTGGGCATCTCAGACACACACATAAACATATAAATAATTAAAATTTTTTATTTTATTTATTTATTTTTGATATTTTTGAGACAGGGTCTCCCTGTAGCCCCAGCTGGCCTGGAA